TGTTTAAATACAAATATTATGGTTTCTTTTAAATTAATTTAGACGATGTTGTTAAAAATTTCTTTATTTTTACTTGTAATATTATCCTATACAATTTTTCAAATGGTGATTGTGATAAAATCAAATATTTTGGCGTTAATCAGTGACTCGATATATATGATGACAGACTGCTTAGGTATTTTGATTACGATAACGATATTTGTATTTAAAAATATATTTATCACAAACAAAAAATCAATAAAAACAATAAAATGAAATTCAAATATTATTAGCGCTATTTTATTATTAATAACATCATTTACAATCTTAAATGAAGCTTACAAACGACTATTCAATACACCAGAGATAAATAAAAATAAATTATTAATAACAAGTTTAGGAAGATTTTTTGTTAATTTATTAGGGGTTGTGATGTTTCATAAAGATTATCATAATGATGATTTGTTATATGGGATGTATCTACATATTTATCAGACATGGTAGAATCTGTAGGGGTTATAATTTCAACCATCTTAGTTAATTATTTCAATTTCATATTTTTTGATACTCTTATTTCCTTTATTATAAGCATGATAATTGTTAATTATGCTTTAAATTTGTTCAATAGATGAAATCAACTTTCTGATAGTTCATTTTCAATTTCGTTAGCTAATATTTTAGTATCTTGTTTTCTTTTTTTGATCCAGAGTTACTTAACAATCTAAGATATTCAATAAAAATCTCAACTCTTTTAAATTCATTTTTCTTAACTAACCTCAAAATACATAATGAAAGTTTGTGTACAAAATTAATATATTCTTTATGAGTATCAGGAATTTTCCCTATAATTTTATTTAGTTTAGAATATGCATTTTCATAATCTTTTTCATCAAATGCGTGTTCGGCATCAAATATAAGACTTTCTAATCTTCTTTCTGATTCATAATGTAAAATTTCATCAAAAAGTTCACAAAAAAATCTGTTAGTGATATTTCTTTTTTCTTTGTTTTTTTGATGATATTTCAAAATAACCTTTATATTCATGAACTTTAGCAATTTCTTCATCTTTCTTCAATTTTAAAATAGTTAAAGAGAAATAAAAAATGATATTATCATAAAAAATATGATTTGACAGAATTTTCTTTTGCTAACAAATAAGCAGATTTTAATTGGTCATCTTTGTAAAGATCTATAACTTTTTTTACAATATCTTCAAAGTTTTTTTGAGATGACATTATATTCTGTTTTAATATCTACATGTGTATTTGTATTTAAATATTTTTTATAATTAATAATGATATTCTAATAAATTAATAAACAAATCAAAATAAAACCTTAAACATTGAATCTTTCACAATGTAAAAATGCCCAACCTCAACCAAATCGATCCGAATAATTTTTCTGATAAGGAGTTAATTTATAAAAATACTAATGTGGAGATTGTTAAAACGAAATAGATATCGTTAGATCTAGATGTAGTTATCAAAAAATTTTTAAAAAATAATAATAAATTTCAAAATGAATTTAATATTATCTCAAAATTAAAGATCCAACATCAATTTAGTTTTTGAATATGCGGATCAGGGAAATCTAAGAGAATATCTAAAAGATAAATTTGATTGCTTAACATGGAA